TAAGTGCCGGTCACCGGTGACCCCCGTGGCATTCAACGTGTTAATCGAAGCTGGATGGTAGTCGCAGGAGATGTGGACGCTGTAATTAAAAGATTGCTCGAAATATTTGTCCGCCGGAACGGGAAACCGGGTCGTCCACTCACCACACCCTCAATTATACTCCTTTGCCGGGAGGGTTGGAACTTGATAATGAAGTTGACATCCATTCCGGGGGAGCAGTAACCAGACACCGGGCTGATCGTATAATCTTCCGGCAGTTTCGATGTGTTCCATTTGAACCTAAACGAATTATTGTACGTCAACGTCGTCCCGGTTTGCAACGTCGCGCGTGTCCCTTTCTACAGGGACAATTCTATCAATTCAATTCTATCAACGTTCTTCGACTTCGGACGAACCTTGCGCCGATGTCTCCAGTATTCATTAGAACGACCTTCGACTGCTTGGTGCAACCCTCGACGATCGTTCCGAACGAAAACAGAGTGCCGTTCAATTGGAATTCCATCCCGACGCAGCATCCATGCATGATGAACAGCGGCAAGATGGTAGAAGCCGCCTGAACGCTGACCTTCTTCGTGAACCTTTGCATTCTGAACGTAGGCTTGTATCTCACTATCACGTCGATCTTTTTGTTCGGTTGCAGAGTGACCGAAGCTGGCTGGATCTGCAGCAGTTCCATCATTCTCGACTCTTTGGTCTGGAGCTCCGTATCGTCTGTCCAGGAACGCTTCGTCTCCACCACGGAGGCCTTCTCCAATTCCGGTTTGAGGAGATCGAGCAAGTTGATCGGGCACGATTTCTCCCGGTCCCGATACTTCCCGTAAGCGGACAAATTTTCTGTTAGGTCGAACCTGACGTCCACCGCTGCTAAACCCTCGTTCACCACCGGGATCTTTCTCACTGACATCTTGCCGATGGAGACGCTGCCTAGGTCGATTGTCTTGTCTCGCGGATTCACCAGTCGAATCTGAAAGCAGTGTAATAAATATTTATCGCCACTGAATTCTTCGATTTCTTCGATTCACAGTTTCCTCCCCTTCGTCGTCGGAGGAAACAGAGGCTCTCTATTATTTAAAAAGCTATCTATTTGAGCCTTCGCTCTTCTGTTTCCCAGGGCAGAGTGCTTTGTTTACGAGTTATTAAAGAAAAACGGTGGCCAATGAGAGACGAGATCAGCTGGCGCCCCGCCCTCGCAATCACTGCCGCTGCGTCAGACTGCTTGCGCGACGCGACGCAAGAGCGGTTCTCGCCTCTCATTGGCTAGTGTTTTTCGTTAATAACTTGTAAACGAAGCCGCGGATTGCATTTT